GTTTTCAGGCCTGCAACTGGGGTTGCTGCACCTGCCTTGGAACCCGCTATCAAATTATACACGTTGCTTCATGATATACTGTCTCCCGAGGCACAGACTAGTCTGTGTCAGTATTTCCAGGTCCAAGATATTGACATGCTCCCAAATGCCAATTTCCTTTATTTGTGTGATTTATTTACTGTTATCTCCTTTTAACCTTATTTAAAGCATTGCGCTTGCAGACTGCCGCCAGAAAGAGATCAAGAAGACACTTGACTGAGACTGATGAATATGTTACAAGCAATACTGAGATTATGCTGATGGATCCAGTATCTATGTCCACTGCCTACCAGAAGATGACCGCACTTTGCATGAATATAAAGAACGAAATTTCTACAGATATTGAGATCCATAATCAGCATATACTGCCTAGGTATGCTCTCATGCTCATAGAAAGACACAAAGGACTTGTTCTGGAAAATCAGTTGCATTTGCATTAGCATCAGCATTCAGCATTGCAGTTGAGCTTGATAATGCACGTCAGTTTCTTACAATTAGGTTCAGAATGCCTAAGCACTAAAAATAGTTATATGACCACTATTAAGCTTTTTCATTGTTAATGTTGGTGTTGCTCGCTAAAGTAACAACAGTAATACTGCTTATCTGCTGTGAAAACTAGCTGGTGATTTCTAGTAACCACAGCATGCCATTGTTGTCACACTACTAGTACTTGCAAGATTGCTGCCAATTCTAGTCATATTTTGTTGACCACCATAGGATTGTTCTCGTGCTAGTTGCACATGCATGAGAAGAACATCAAGGTTGCCACTTCGTGGAAGAAGATTAGACATGGAACTCATCTGCGTGAGGTCTTGCAAATTGCTATTTTCTTGGGGGCATCTTGTGTGGACCGTCTGCACATTTCTGTTGCTTACTTGGTAGAACAATTACTGAGTTCTGCAATTATTCTGATGATAATTGTTTGTTGCAGTTTCATTGACCTGCCAAATTTATCTTCTTCAATATACAGCAGTGAGTTATGCAATAGATTGCGTGCATTTCTTACTGCTTGCCCACCCTCGGGTCCTTCCCCTCCTGTGGCAGAGCTTGTCATTGCTACATCTGATTTTCAGAGGGATCTTGCTAGCTGGAAAATCAGGTATGGAACTGTAATGAAATACACTGCTGCTCTATGTGACACTGTGCCTTGGATGATACTAACGCTTTTTATTTTCTTTTTAAAATTTCCACAGTCCTGTGAAAGGTGGCGTCGATGCTAAAGAATTGTTCCATCTGTATATTTTGGTGTGGATTCAAGATAAGCGCATGTTATTACTTGAGTCATGTAAATTGGACAAGGTATGACTTTGCAAGGTCGTTGTGCTTTCAATCTCATAATCTTATTCGGTTCTCACTTTTGCAATGGAATAGAAGGCCTGTTAGATTGGTTGCTTCTGTTTCAAGAATCTTAATCTGGTGAACACTTCCATCACTTTGCAGGTGAAATGGTCAGGTGTTAGGACTCAACATTCTACGACTCCCTTCGTGGATGAAATGTATGATCGGCTGAGAGCGATGTTGAATGACTATGAAGTGATCATTTGCAGGTGGCCAGAATACATATTTGTGCTCGAGAATGTATGTCATCATGATTATCCTTCACTCTTTATCCATTTAAATGAAATTACTGATATTGCTTATACTTCATCAAATAATTTCTTGTCCTTTTCTTTAATGTATCTTGGCATGTGCCAGTGCCTGCGTTTATTTTCTACTTGAAAAGGTTTACAAGAATGTAGGTAAACTTGTCCTTTCGGAGCATATAAAGATGGAAAGCTATGTGTAATAAAGCTGTAATTCTTCTGTTAAATAGGCTATTGCTGATATCGAGAAGGCAGTGGTGGAATCTCTGGACAAACAATATGCAGATGTCCTCTCACCTTTGAAGGATAATCTAACACCTAAGAAATTTGGCCTTAAGTATGTCCAGAAACTTGCAAAGCGATCAGTATGCTCCTATACTGTGCCTGATGAGGTGAGTCTTGATTTCATGAAGTCTCACAGTCCATTAATCGATATTTTTAAGTTCCTCTGGTGTTTGTCTTATATAATTTGGTGTCCTAATGATGCTCGCGCGCAGCTTGGGGTACTTCTAAATTCCTTAAAGAGAATGATAGACATCTTGCGCCCTAAGATAGAACTCCAGTTCAAGTCATGGGGTTCCTGCATGCCCATCAGTGGAAACACTGCTCCTGGAGAGCGTCTCAGCGAGGTGGCAGTCATGCTGAGAGCCAAATTCAGAAACTATATGCAGGCTGTTGTGGAGAAACTTGCCGAGAATGTTAGTATCCACTCACGCCGTTGTTAATTTCTGTGAAAGTTATTATTTTTATATGGAAATGTCGAATATTGGAGTATAACCTGATTTTGGGTCCACACAATATGGAAATGAGCATGTGTTTTCAAAAGTTGGCAAAAAGTAGTTTTGAAGCTCGTAGTGTGGAAAGTACCAGAGAAAGAATGTCTGTTACACTTGAAGTTGTATCTAATAGCTGATGGTTCCCTATGGTGGGAGGCCTCTATTCCTTGTGAAAGACTTGCAAGCGTGATTTTCTTTATGGAGTCATGCTTCCATTGGCTTTTGTTTCTTCTTGCCTCATTGTTGGATTATATGATCTATGCAGCTTTGTTTTTATCATGCAACTTTTAGCGAGTTGCGCTTTCATCTTTAACTTATTTAGTAGTGCTGATCCTGTAAACTTGCATCACTCATTGTTCCAATCTCCTCACGTCTCTGACTTCCAGATTGTTCTTTGTCTTCTAGTCAAAGTCACAGGCCTCTACAAAACTGAAAAAGGTTCTGCAAGATTCCAAAGGGACTGTGGTGGAATCGGATGTACGGGGTAGAATGCAACCCCTGAGAGAGCAGCTGACGGAAACAATGAATCATCTTCACACAGTCTTCGAAACTCACGTCTTTGTCGCTCTTTGCCGAGGTTACTGGGACCGGATGGGACAGGTAGATCACACTCAAAATATTGATGCAGATTGTTGCAGTTTCCTGATGACTGAAATAATAAGATTTGTTTCATCGATGATGCAGGATGTTCTGAGTTTCCTGGAGAACAGGAAGGAGAACAGGTCGTGGTATAAAGGTTCACGAATTGCTGTATCTGTAAGTAGAAAAATCTAAGATTTTTGATCTGGCAGTGTTTAATAGAGTAGAGGAGCATGCATAGAGCATCGCTGGCAACTATTTAGGATAGGGGCCCCTTTATCTACACTAATTGTTATTTTGTTAATAGGGCACAGGCACTGTTTAACAAGAGTCAACTTGGTGCTTTTTTTATTTTTAATTAATTTCAATTAGTGGAAGTAGATATAAGTGTGTTTAGGATGAAAGTAACCCCAATTTCATGGAAAAGGAATACTTTAAAAGCATGTGCTTAGCTCGACATCGAGTTAGGAAATTTCATCTGCTTGCTTTTCTATTTTCCCCCTTTCCTTCCAAATGGTGGTAACTTTTGCATTACCTGCGCAGATCTTGGATGATACTTTTGCATCACAAATGCAACAGCTTCTTGGGAACACTCTGCAAGAGAAAGACCTTGAACCTCCTAGATCGATCATGGAAGTGCGGTCGATACTGTGCAAGGATGCTCCCGATCACAAGGACAGTGCATTTTACTATTAGGCTTGTGTATATAGACTCGAGTTGAAGATCAAGTAAAGCTGGAGTTTAGGAGCCTGAGATATAAAGCCATTGCACGATAAGTGATAGGGCAGATGCGGGAGCCGAGAACACTTTTCCTGTAGTGTTCTCGTGCTTCTTTCTGTCTGCCGGAATGCGCGTGGCATCGATAGTATTACAATTTTTGTATCGACTCTTGTGGCAATTTTGTAGAGGGAGCAAGCAACTCTGCTGCTCCAAGCATAGTATTTGTCAGTAGAGTGACAGAAAGCTAATGCTCATATATATAGTTTTCCTGTCATGTGCATATGTCAATGCAATAGTTTTTTCTTCCTTCGTTTTATTCTAACTTTTTACAAATTGTTAGCATTTTAATCACCATGATGACTCCTCTACTGCCCCAATTAACTTGGGAGATTAGACCAGGGTTATTTCTGGACTTGAAAATAGAATGTTGCCTTGATAAAACAGAGCATTTCGAGAGTAGAGATAGAAGAACTTAAGAATTGGTTTACCAAGTTACTGTTATAAAATCTGGTAATATAATATATGACCCAATTGAGGATGTATAGTTGAATCTGTAGGTTGGCAAGTTGATATCCGATTTGGACGCTTTGTGTGAAGATCATGAGGATGCAACGAATAGAGTGGATGAGATCTACAACTCGCTGGGTAAGTAAAGAATTGTTTATTGCTGTGGAGTGCGATCAACGAAAACAATCAATCAAGTCCCTCCTCAATATGAAATGCTGAAGGTGTCCAAGATTTTCAAGAGTTTAAGAGAATACGAATTCAAGATGGAAGAACTTGAATCACGTGATGACAGAGTATATAGACGAATCAAGCAAGGATGATGGCTTGGAAGTAGTATGCTTCTGGTGTGGATACATTGTTGCTTATCAATGTCCATTGCAGGTCCATGTTGGGCAAAACAAGCAAGATTCAGTTCAATGTGGATGTGAAGATCACGCCAGCATAATAGAAAATATGGATATTGTGACATCATCGTTATATTTTCGCAAAGAGTTTAATCAGGAGTTTTTTCGATACATGTCCTAATGAAACTTCTTTTGGCATGAGGAAAGAACTCGTGATGCGGATGAAACTAACGAATTCAATTGTTTCACGTTTCAAAACTGGAGGGCAAGTCGCTTCCAATAGGGGGAGAGTGATGCAGCCAACAAAATCATGCAAGACGACATTTGTATATTGACGTTTTTACTGAGTTTTAGTGAAGATGGACTTTGCAACTGAAATAGGCACTGCATGTATATGAGTCGCAAGTCCTGATGCATGCTGAGTGCATGTGCTCTTAACATTGCAAAGTACCGAGAGGTGTAACTGTTTTTGCATTCAGTATGAGAGATTTTTACATCGCATTCGTATCCGAACTTCAAATGTAGAACAGATACCCATTTACATGATTAAGTAACATCAGAGGGTAATTAATCAAACTGGAACGCCTAATAAACGCACTAATGTCAAACAACATGGACAACATCAGACTGCATTGGCAGGACAAGCATGGAATGAACTAATTAAGCTCCTCTTCAGGCAGATCATGCAGATCAGAGAAGCTTTGATATAACATGACAAGATGTCCAAAAGGCATTTGAGGCAGCCCTCAGAAGTACTGGGTTCTGATAGATCCTGAAAAGAACAGACATTGACCACAATTACATCGAGATCGAGAGATCGAGAGAGAGAGAGTTAATTGCAGAGGTCAAGCGCTGGATATATATCAAAGAGTATGGAGGTTGAGAATTGTCAAAAGAACAGTGTAGGAAATAATAAACCAATATTTGAGAGGAGATTAACTATAAGACACACCCAATGGCTGTTGCCCCCCAGGATGCTACGTTATAGATGACTTTGCTCCCGTCCCATGCCTTCCGGAGCTTACCTTTCTTCTTTTTCACAGAAAATGTCTTGCTAAGAGCTAAGAGGAAATTGAAAGTGTGTCAGGATTCTTCTTATCAACCATTGATGTATAAAATGTTATCCCCTTTCCATGCACTGACAGCCTATCAAGTACTTTTTGTGACTAGTAGGAAAATACAGTAAAACTACTGAGAGGCTTTAATGTCTGACCTGCTTGGAGTTGATTAGGAGTTAATTCCTGAAATCGCACAGCGGCTCTGTTAGCAAAGTCATATGTTCACATGAGGTATATTCCAATTCATGCTTATCTTGAAAAAAATAGTATCAAGCGAGTATGCCTATGGCATGAATTGATCATTTATTTAATTCGTCATGCTTTTTAATGCATGACTTTTCAAGCAAAATGCACATAAACTTGAAATATGACCTCAGCTCCAATATGCCTTTACAATATATGAAGCTCATGAAAATATGTAACCAATCTGTAGGACGAATACATATAAGAAACCCCCATCAACAAGATCAACTAAAGAAAATATTTGCCTTCTTTAAGATTCAAAGCGCTCTGAGGTTGGAAAAGCTTGAGTTGCTGAAATGCATGTTCATTATGCCATGGGGAAGGAATAAGCGTGCCTCGCTGAAGATCAGAGGCATTAGTTGATGCTTCTCAAGCAGGTGACACAATTTTTCAATCATGTAAAACAGAGCAGGTTCCTCTGATCTCTATCATTCAAGATACATGCTATAAGACACTGCTACAATCAGCATCCATCGTACACTGATGCAGAACAAAGTTCTAGTGGGATATGTTCTGTGCCAACCTAAGAGCAGCATAAGTTGTATCATTCAGGAATTGGGACAATACGAAGCTCCTATAACCTTGGCACTTATAGGTGTTATGATGCATTATGAATTGTTCTCATGTCAAAGCAGGACGAGCCCAGGTGTGTAGACCTCGATAGATCCAGGTTGTATGAGCTCTTTACAACCACAACAATGTTGGAAGTCTGAGTCCTATTAGGAACTCAATAGTGCAGTCATCAACTTCCATTGACCAAAACATCAGATTGACCAACATTTGCCACAGTTTCGGGAGACATTATTGCCTGCATCCTGAGCAGTAGGCTAGTATATGTAATCTTTTGGGTCAGGTGGATCCCATATGGGACCCACATGATCCACCGGATCAGATACATTGGGCCATATGCTCCTGGTGCACTAAAGTGACCACCAATCTCCAGGATGTACTACCACTTATTCCACTCCGATGTAACTTTTCTCTACTAGTGTCAATAGTTGATTGTCCAACCATACCAGACTAGTTATCATTGAATAAATCATTCTAATAACATCAAAACAAAAGAATATATAATGCAAAATCCAGCGCAATCGACATACTAATAAATATGATATATCGGCTGATTGTTCATAGTTCGCGAAATCTTTGACCCTGGTTAATCAAGTAGCGCATTTCATGTCTTTTAACAAGTGTCTGTCATCGAAGCCCTTGATGGAAGCTCATTATGCAATATGCTAATACATCGAAGCTCATTATGCTAATACATCGAAGCTCTTAATGGATGAGCTCATTATGCAATATGCAATAAGCTCATTATGCTAATACATCGAAGCTCTTAATGGATGAGCTCATTATGCAATATGCAAATAGATAAGCAAAATATTTGAATTAACTGGCTTCGGGGAACAAACTTGCATACCTTTGTCTGCTTGAGAGAAGACAGATATGCAGCCATGAAGCAAGCAATACCCTCTACAATATCTTCTTGCCTCACTAGAACATAATCCTCTTTATCCAAATCTGCATTTTCAGTTTCCCAAAGGTCATTTTCATCGACCATATCCCAAGAGCTACCTTCCTCTGCTGCCATATGAGAAAATAACTATCAATTGATCTTGAGCAGACTGATAATTAGAACAGTTATGCAGTCTTAACAATTGAAAAGTCCCCAGGGTCCATAGGGCAACAGCTCTGAATTGCATTCCACAACTTAAACAAGACACCGTTTGGAAGCATACCATTTTGAGGAACTGACACCTTAGCGCACTCAAGCTTTTCAAGGAATTCTGGGCATTCAACTCTAGATTTCAGAAGCTCGCATAACTGTATTAAAACAGGAAGAAAAGCATGCGTCAGTAGACAACATACATGTGACTGGTGAGTTCCCCGCAGAAATTTACTGATGGCTTAATGAACAGTATGGTTAACTGTTATCACGACCTTTCTTCCATTATTTTTAGGGTGCTTCTGGATTTTCTATTGGAAGGACATTTTGTCAACCAAGAACCATAGAAGAATCAACAAAAAATTGTTGGAAGCAAGATCCGACCAAAAAAGAGAGTGAAGCGCAAGTCACTCTTGTGAGATTGCATATGCAACAGATGATAGAAAACCCATCATGGATAGTTATGCAAAGCCATTTGTAATCGGAAGAAATTAAAAATCGTCCTCTCATGAGACAGCGAAGCCCATCACCAGCTGAATTGCCATCTTCTACAGCACTAACATGGTCATGGAAATACTGCTCTTCAATTTTTTTGTTCTTTTCCGCTATGAAAAATTGGTCCCAGAAATGCATGATCACAATTCTGACTACTAAAATTTCACTTCCAAGAACAAGTTCTCCAATCAACCAGCAAAAAAGCCAATGGAATCACAATTCTGACCTACGTAAGCCCGAAACATTGATGAAGCTGGAAAACAATCCACAGCCAACCTCAGGCCTACTTTAGAAGTCAAACATTCTTCGTATATTTGACCTGAAAATAAAAAGGCGTAAAATCCCTAGACTTAATACTATAAGTCAGAGTACCAAGGACAAAGAAAAGGACCAAAATAAACACATTGATGAACAATCATAACGTGTTAAAGCCCACCAAGGTAAATGGCTTGTCACATGATCCTCATATTTTGATAAAAATCTCATTTTGATCAGAGAAGCAGTTATTTTGGAGGCCATGCTACTTTGAAGCAACGACCTTTGCAGTATAACAGCAGCTCTCAGTTAAACAGGTCAAGAATGTAAAATCATCTATTCACTAGCATGCAGCACCTCCGACACAATCAGCTCCGTCAACATGACTAATTTCCCGGATTTGGCTATCGGACAGGGATCACGCATAACCAATACAAGAAAATGAACAGCTGTCTATGAGATCTAAAGGTCAGGATCTTTCTGAATTTCTAACACGATGATCGAAATCTGTGTACGTAGAGCGCACAAAAGTACCAACATGTGAATGACTCATAGCGGCAGATACAACTGACATCCATCCAGATACTGCATTAATATCTGCCACCCAAAATGAAAGCACTCAAACATTAAGTGATTCCAAAAATGTTATTTCGATAATGACAATTCTTGACATTACACATTACTGCCCCGTCAAAAAGAAGCAAATGCCAATAGTTTACTCGATGTAAATAGAAAGAATTGTAGTTTTATTTGCTATTCACAGCCCAAACTCTTAAGTAACGAACAAAAATAGAAACTTTAACTGAATCTAATTCTCCCCATAACGCCACCGAGATACAAATCAATTCCAGCAAAGAGGGGCGAATCCCCCGCACGCGCATTTATCAAGTTGCCTACTACTTCTCGAATTCGAAAGTTTCTTCCTTTCCTCTTTCCCTTTTTCATTTTCCCTTCCTACTGAAGTTTAACTTCCCGGAATTAATGCGAACTATCTAAAGCAGCTGAAAAATGCCAACACAATTCAAAGTAGATCAATGAACAGCACATAAGGCTCAAATTTCCTAGCTGAGCGACGCAACTGAACATGCCGAGAAAAACGCCACCGCCGCTATACCTCATCAGCTTCTCGATCTCGGCAGGTGGATGCCGAGTCACGGCGGCTCGGCTCCGCGCCGTCATCGTCTGGATCGTCGCCGTCGTCGTCGGCATCCACGCCGCCCTCGCCATTGCCGAGCAGCTCGAGAGCCCTCTGGCACTGCTCCAGCACGGCCTGCAGGGTCTTCCGCTTCACGCGGACCGCCGTCGCGTCGCTCGACCCGGGATTCGAGCGCGAGTCCATCGCCTCCTCCATGAAGAGATTGGGAAAGAAAAGGAAAGAACGGAATTCAAATTCACCCCAACCCCCAGGTGAAGAAGGAACTCGCGCTATTTCGGAGAATCCGAGACACGGGGGGGGGGGGGGGCGTCTTTCGAATTCCTGACGAGATTCGGACGGAGGTCGAGGGAGGAATGATTTTGTTCTCGTCGTCGTCGTCGTCGTCGTCGTCGTTGCCGATGATGTTTGGGCATGCGATCGGGTTCCTCCTCACGTCGTATTTTACCTTTGTCCCACGCCTGCTGGCCGTACTATATGTTTCTTTTTGGCCTTGGCCGAAATGTCGTCGAGGTGTACGTAACTTTCTTTTTGGGTAATTGACCTGAATCTATCGTAATTTCTTTTTTCGCCACGTCGACAACGTAACTTACCATGATCATGACATTCATTCATAATTTGTAAACTCGAAAGGCCTTATCAATGGAATAACTATACTGGTATGTCGTAATTTTCATTAGTTGATAGTAACATCCACGATCGGTAATTTTCCTTTCATTTTTGCAAGTAGCTACCTCTTTTTAATGTCATTCGACCATTGAGTTTCTTTCTTTTTTATTTTTTTTCCTTTTTGATCCAACAGAGCAGGTTACATGCGAGACTGACCTTGTGAATTGCCGGTCTCGACCGTATAATCCCCCCTTAAACTTTCATTTTCTGGAGCCATGGCTAGGAGCGATGGCGGCTCGTTCGACACCGGCGACCATGGACTGGCAGAATTGAAGAGTTGGGCCGAACTTCCAAATATGGAGCCACGGTCGCGAGCGATGACGACTCGTTTGGCTCCGACGGCCATGGACAGGTTGAGTTGAAGAGCCATGGACAACGGCCAAATTCGAAAGGAAAATAAGGGAAGAAGAAAGAAAAGAAAAGTTAAAATTTTATATTTTTTATTCGAACTCAACGATACGTGTCGATCTATTATTAAACCTAAATAAAAACGCATATCGGCAATTGACGTGACGCTTTATAACCGCTCAATATTTCTCGCCTTAAAGAATATCAACTAGGAAAGTACAAAAAAAACATAACTCACTTTTCAGAGTATTTCCATTACCCGCGTCTACCTTTTGAAATTACATATTTCACCCCCCGCCCAACTATAATGACCAAAGTACCCTCGGATGACCAAATCAGGATGAAGTGATGGGACTAGCTTTGAAACGACACCTGAGTAGTTTTTAAAAATTTCTATATATTTATAATCTTCCAATCTTGTTATATATATATAGGACGTATGGTCATAATGGGAATACAGTAAAAATGTAACAAATAAGCTAAAATAGCTCACGACCACATTTATGTGCGTACTGGGCTCATAATGGGCCCAGTATCTGTAAGTCCCACCATCATCTTTAGGCAGTCTCAAGCAATTGACCCTCATTGAAGGACCCGATTCAGCTTGCCCAACCTCAACTACTTGATTCTTTAATAATAATAATAATAATAATAATAATCAAGAAGGGCTAAACAATTTGATGGGAGAAATTTTTTGGGATAATAGCCGACCCTTTTATTTATTTATTTATTGTATCCCTTAATTATGTGATTTTTTTGGGTTGATTCTTCCGCTACAAAAAGTAAACGGAGATAGTGACATAACATTTGAAGTTGACAAAACGGGTCAAAAGCCCACTTTGGACATGATATTTTAGGAAATAGACTATTAATATGTTTGAGTTGTAAAGCCCATTAAAATGGGTTATTAATGGGTCTAGACTTTTACCTGGATTGACCCAACAGTCTTTTTTGCTCTCTCTTGTCAGGTATTCGATTCCATCCATCGCGACGTTGCCGGTACCCGTCCATAACCCGACCCCCGAGCTCTCTCACTGACTCGACAAACCGGTCCACGGAGCCGCTCATTCTTCAAAGGCAACAATTTAAGGTGAAAATTTGATTAAAAATGGATCTCGGGTCGGATCAGCTACGGGTCGCCGAATTCGTAGAAAAAGTCAAAATTGATAAAACGGGGTCCAATTGGATCAGATCATTTTTCCGACCCGACCCGACCCATCTATTGTTTTTTTTTTTTTTGGGGTCGAACAATCCATCTACTTGACGGGCCTACTTTTAAGTTACAGTCGCATGCTGACATGGCATTGTATGCGCCAACTGTAAACCTAAAGCAATGCAAGAAATGCAGATCAAAAGGGACAAGAAGTTAAGAGGCACCGCCGCACCATCAGAAAAAAACGGAAAACAACTGGGGAAGGGAGGCGCACCTAGGGAAAGAGATCTCCCCCCACCACCAAACACAAGAACCTCTCACCCCCGGTCCACACGCATCGGAACGCTTCCAGTTCACGGGATTGGCCAGATGCCTTCGGATCGCGAACGATTCGGTGCGAATTGGAACTCCGCCCGCCGAATTAGCAGACCCCCACTACTGATCAGAGAGACCTACCAATGAGTTCGCTCGATCGAGCACGAGCCTTACACCCTCGTCCAGGTTGTCCGCGCGGATCGACCGCGTTCGCCTTGCCCTTTCTTTCCACAAAGCTTGAGAAAAACTTTATCTCGTCTCGTTAAATTGATTTTGCTAGAAGACTCGACACTCGACGGGTGATTATCCGAATTCATTAGCCCATTTAAGTACAAGTTTAGTAAAAAGGTCTTCATATGCTTCGTTATTTATTTATTTAAATAATCAAGATTCGCATACTTAACTAGATCTACGATGTACCCAAATATAACGGCTTCAATCAGACCAGCAGAATTTGTACTTCTCGCGATTGTCGGGCTACATATTATGTGAGTTATTATGTGCAATTAGGGCTTGAGAAACACCGACTGTGTTTGAGTGAATCGAATATGATCGTAATTTCCGTTGTATCGCTTGATCTATAGTGGAATTCTTTGCTACCCTCCTTATGGACGTAAGTCACACCGACTGAACTAGGTAAATCTGATTTCCGACTTATTTTCTTATTTTGTCTATTTTATTGTTTGATCTCTTGTCACGTCCTCACGACGGTGTTGGATCGTATTGTCGTTACGTTAATTGAAGATACAAGCAGGAGCAAGTGATCCACCCCACCACACACGAGAACCTAACATAATTGATTGCAAAAAGCTCGGTCCACACGGATCGAATGCTTCAAGTTGACTAGAGGGATGTCTTTGGATCGGAAATGATTTGGTGCCAATTGGAAACTCTACCCTCCAAAGTTAATTCGGTCGTTGCGGACATACATTGACTAAACGTACCGATGATTTTTGCTGAATTGAGCACAAGCCTTGAATCCGATGCGAAGTCTTGTCTCGTTAAATTTGCTTATTAAGAGATGTGACGTTTGGTGAATGATTCCTGAGATTCAGAAGTCCATTTAAGGACTCAAGTACGCAACACCACTAAATAGACAAGTTTAGTAAAAAGGTCTTAAATATGCTTCATTGCTTATTGTTTATTGAATAAAATGATCAAGATTCACTTACTTAGCTAGATCTATACGTCTTCTTCAACCTTTAGTCATGAGGGGAGTATTTGAATTAGTCTCACCCTCCTCTTCCTCTTTTGCCAATTTTATTTCTGTTTTATTGTTCTTTTCTTATTTTTTCTTCTCTTCCGATTTAAATTTGAGTATTGTCTTCTTCCGGTCTAGTTTTAGATCTAAGAGTCTGGACTCTCCCGATTTAATTCTAGATCTGGGAGCTACTCTCTCTCGATCTAAATTTGAGAGTTTAATAAATTTGTTTTTGGGTATTTGATATCCCACTACTTTGCCCTTGTACAGATTCTCTGCTCTAGCTTCAATGGTGATCGTAGGAGCTCTGGCGTTTCGCTAAATCACGAAGATTTGTTCTTCCATATGTTAGATTTGTGTTTGTTCAATTTGTTTTGGTTGTTTCCGTACGGTGATGGTGTAGAAAAAGCCGAACCTAGCTGCACACCGCCAATCGGTAACGCCGAAGTTATTGGACAAGGAATTTCCGGCATGTGTTCATCACTAACGAAGATACGAGATCCAATAAGTGACCGCCGATTATTTTGCTTAACAGATCCGTTCTTATGGAATGAGTGTGTACTTAACCTTGACGGTGCTCCGTTAATCATCCATGTTTTCTGGATTTAGATTTGTTTTGCAGTATTTAAGCATTTGCTCTGTTGTGATTTGCTTTGTCGTGAAATCTATGTACTTTTCATGCATCCTTTTAAGTAATGAATATAATTTTCTTTTGATACAAAAAAAAAAAAAACCTAGATCTACGGTAGGCCCAAATACAACAACTTTTATTGTCAGATCCGCCGAATTTGCACTTCTCTCGACTGTCGGGCCATGACCATTAATGACCTACTCAAACCGTTGGTTACGTGGGATGCGACAGGAAAGATGAGAAGGTTGGTTGCATTACGTCTTCTATTGTATAACACACTAATGCGATTCCCTCCATTTAACTAATTCTTATCATATAATAACAATATAGAATAATGCTTATACACACATAGAATATACGTTAGCTCGAGCCATCACAATCGCCGAATCGTGCACTTGCATGATCGATATGCAACAGGATCATGTGCACCCAGAAGAACGTAAGAATTGATCATCAAACGACGGTTCACGTGAAAATTTTGCTTTTTCGGTCGGAAGTTCACGTGAAATTTAAGTCTCGATTGCTAAAAGTGTTCGGCAGTCCACCAAACACGTAAGTGGAGGTGTCCTCCTCGTCCATACGAATCATATTTGGCTCCAAGTGTCCCAAGCCTATGTGTCCACTCGTCTCTAGAGCCAGTACCAAATCTGCCCCTTCGTATGAAACCAACGAAACCACCACCCCTAGTTTCTTCAAAATTATCAATATCAAAATTAGTTAGACGTTCATCATCAAAACGCGTGTCCTCACAATACCCCCACTTTCGTATGGAATAACAGCAACATCCTAATGTTGATAATTTCGAGAAAACCGACCACGGTTTTTGGAAGCGGGGCGGATCAAGGGCCGGAGTGAAATTTGATTTTTTTTGTAAACAAAAAAGGTTCAGGGGTAGAGTCGGAAATGGACTTAAAATCGAGGGTTTTTTTTGAGGAGTTAGGCCAAAACTGCAGACATTTTTGTTGGACAGAATTTGAGTAAATTAACACCCGCTATGGGTGCGTTTAGTTTTGCATTCCCAAGGGGCTTTAGGGGAATGCAAATACCTTTAACTTAAAGCCCTTGCAGAAATGCAAATTGCGTTTGGTAAAAAATAATTTATGAAGCTATTTTTGCCCAAATAGTATTTGGCAAATCTTATTTTGCAAAGCGACAAGGCTTGAGGTTGCGCGACCCTCGTCAGGGGTCGCCCGATCTCGGGCAACGGCCGCCAGTGCTAGATCTGGCTCGCCGACAACTGTCGCTAGGGTTGGGCGACCTTGCCAGCCTCTCGCCGGAGCTTCACCGTTCCGATCTGGCCTTGGACGGCTCTGGCCGGCCGCCCTCAGCCCAAAGAAGATGAACATTCACGAGGGATAAAATTGGAATATTAAATAATTAGTGAGGGTGGTTTGGGAAGAAAAAAAATTGATTTCGGTATTAGGCAAATGCTGAAAGTTCAAAGCTCAAAGCTTGTTCGGACCAGCTGGGGTTTCAACATTCCCAATGCTAGCTTTCGATCGAAAGCTCGTTGAAAATACTTGCCAAATGCCGTAGCATTTTCAAGGGATTTTCAAGGCCGAAAGTCTCTTGGGAATGTCGAACCAAACGCACCTTATCTGCCATAGCGACCAAGCTAGACGGACCGGTTCGAAACTGCTCATCGGGCTATTACGGAGTTGTGCCTAATGAGTCAAAACTCATCTTGAATTCGAGACGACCGACCTTTTCCGAACCCTCAAATCGGCGTCAATGAAGCAAGCCTTGAGAACTCGAACCTTGAATTGATGAAGGAATTCGCGTTTCCCCTGCTTCGACGAAAGCCAAGACCTTTCCCATCTTCTCTCATGTCGGATCGAACTAGTAAAAACGGCACAGGATTGGAGTTTCGCCGAATAGTCATCGGAATTAAACAAATCACCGAAAGGGTCGCTCTCCCTGATTTCGACCACGTGTTTCGGGGGTCGAAAGTTGCAAGATTTCACGAGGGGGGCCGCCTCCTCTTCTCTTCGCATTCACAAGACGAAAAGAACCAAACTCGTAGAGTCGAAACACCAATTTGATTTCATCTTCAGATTAATGAACAAAGAACAACAGCAAGAAACACGGTAGCAAAATCAATAGTCCTATAAAATCTTTGTCGTCATCATCGTCGTCGTCAGGTCAGTCCTCGCGAATCAGAAGTCCTTGAGAATTTTCCGGACTTGCTCGAGGGTCACGAACAGCACCACGGTGAACGGGCCCTGCCTCGAGATGGTGGGTATGAACCCCTTGTACAGGGCCATCGGCCCCTCCGCCCTGATCGTCTTCATGGCGCAGTCCAGCGCCCCGGCGTACGGCGGCGCCTGCCCCGGCTCCACCTTCATGTTCATCACCCGGGTCTTGATCACGTCGATCGGGTTCGACGCCACCGCGGCCACGAACCCGGCGGCGAAGCTGGCCGTCACGTGGGTCCCGAGCCCGTCCCGCATCGCCCCGCTGTCCAGGATGGCCTCCTTGACCTGGTCGTAGGTCGCGAGCTGGGACGCGGTCACCACCATGGCGCGGTTCACCGTGAGGCTGGACCCGCGCCACAGGCTCGCTACCCCCTCCTGCTTGGACATGCTCGCGAGGGCGTCCACCACGCTCCGGTAGTTCCGGCGCTGGTGCACCGGGAGCCGCCCGTCCGCCTGCATCCGGACCATGGCCACGTCGGCCGGGTTCCCGACCATCGCGCCGATGGCCCCGGCCACGAGGCCGGCGGTGATCTTGCGCGTCAGGGGCAGGGTGTTGGTCCCCGGGTCGGACCACTTCTGCTTGAGGATGTCGTACAGCCCCATCCGGGTGGTGGAGTAGAGGGTCTGCCGGAGCACGGTGGCGGACACGCCGGAGAACAGCGCGGCCACGCCCTCGGCCCGGACGATGCGGACGCCGACGGACACGAGTCCCACGCGCGGCGGCGGCGGCGGGGGGACGTGGACGCGGGCGGCGGAGATCGCCGGGGAATGGAAGGCGAGGGCGGGGCGCAGGCTGTGGGCGGCCTGGGTGGGCGCCGCGGGGAGGGACTCGCCCTGGAGCTGCATCCGGACCTTGATGAGGTCGAGCGGGTGGGTGGAGCAACCGGCGACGATGGAAGCAATACCACCTTCGACAAATCCCTTGACACCCATGATGGCACCGACGAGCAGCAACAAAAAGGCTCAACCTTGGGGAGCAAAAGGAATGAAAGAATAGGGCTTTTTCGATGGAGGGTGTTCGGGTTAAGACCAGTAGGAATTAGGGTTCAGCTCGGTGGAGACGAGGAGGTGGGAATGGAGGCCGAAGGCGACGGAGGAGGAGTGAGGGACGGTGGGTCTCTGAGACATATAAGAGAAGAGGAGCGTGTGTTTACTGTGTGGGGATTCGAGAGATGGAGAAGGGAGGAGGGGGAAGAGGAGAATATATAGTGTGGGCAGGAGGGAAGTGGGACGGAACGAGTTGCCCTACGAATTGGGAAGGCGAAAGAAGGTGGGCATGAGAATGGGGACCACGCGTAAAGGGGAAAGGGAGTGCGCAACCGAGACGGGTGGCTTCTGCGTGTTCTGTTTTTGGTCTGGGGGGGTTGCTGTGAGAAGGTTCCCTCTTTCGTTCCTTCTTCACTTGACTTTGACGCGAACTCCGCACCGCAGCAGCTGGGTCTCTTCTCTCCTCTCTCGGTTTGTGGCCGTCGCAACTTTTTGATTCCCCCGTTCCGTCAGTACGCGGAACCGGAATGGATTGCGATCGAACTGGGTCTTGTTCTGGTGGGGCCCCCACTACGTATTCCCGTAAAATGCTCTTGGATTATCGGGGCAGTTGACCGGACCGTGTGGACCGTAGGCGCGATCGATGGACAGGCTCGGCCGGGAGGGCCCCCCATTGATGGGGGTGGGCGGCGCTTTGCCTGGGCCGTCGAATTGGGTCTTGTTCCGGTGGGGCCCCACTATGTATTCCCGAAAGATTTGATTGCATTTAGAACTTTCGTGACAAGTTTGTGTGCATATGCCGTGATATTTTCCTGTAAAAAACAGAAGAAAAAAGAAAAGGGCCCTTTTGCCCTTCTTGCCAACGACGACGAATGGCGCAAGTTCTAGATTGTGGGACTGAGTTGCCATTCTTTGCTGGGAGCGGGTCAACTACTCTGAAGTTTCGACAGGCGTCGGGACGACACCGGCAGTTTAACAGTCGTTGGACTTCTTAGGAGCGTTTCATTGACTCGGCAAACCAGATGCTCAAAATCACATGCCCCCCCTCCCCCCGCGTATGAACGTGCACTAAGTAAGAGACGTGCCCTTCCAAAATTCGATTCCTTCCCAAACGTTTACTTCCTAGGGGAAATGCATTTCGAGAATATTGATCTTTCGGAATCGGTACGCGGATATAACTCGTCTTAACCCCCCCTCTCTTGCCGGTTTTGTTATCACGCCTAATGGAGAGGCCCCCACGAGTAGGGGTGTGCAACGGGCAGAGGTTTCGGAAACCAGACCAACCCACCCGAAAAATGGTCGGAACCGGTTCTAACAAGAACCGGTCCGGAGCACGGTTCCATTTTGGGAACCAGGTTAGAACCTAGGTTCGGTTTCGGCCCAAGTAAAAACCAACCCAAACCTGTTTTAGAACCGGTTTTGAGATAATATACAAAAAAGTAAAAAGCCTATATCATGTTACCCTACTTCACCGGTTTAGAACCGATTCCGGTTTAATATTGGAATATGTTTCACAACTATGAGCGAAACAAAGACTACGGCCCTTAAAAGTCATCTAAATATTGTGTGATTCGGATGAGATATATGACATTTTTCTAGTGAGAGCGGATGCCTTCTTGCATAAGTTTCTTGATTTTTCTTTCAAGATATTTCATTCGGAAACGAAGTGAGGAGTTATCTCATCATGGCGCAAAATAAAGAGCTAAACATGTTGAATAAATTCCTGGAAATGTGACTCTTAAAGATTTATGCGATTGGACTATGTCTTGCCACATAGTGCTTTTGGATTATTGATTTTGATGGATTGTAATTTCAATTGCTCATTTTGGGGATTGTTACTTTTGGCGGATAGTGATTTTTGTTATTCATCTTTTATTTTAAATTGTTTCATTGCTACCTATATTATTTTGTTAGAAAAAATGAAACCGAAAAAAGGAACAAAAAAAAGTTCTGTAGTTCAAACCGAACCGAAAAACAGATCGAGGTTGGCTTTGTGCCAAAATGAACCTAGGTATAAGGTGGTTTGTGTTCTAGGTCCGACCCAACTCACCCGAACCGATCACCCTACCACGACCACGGGCCAATTGTTCGATCCCATAACGTAAGCACACGAAACCGTCTTGCGTTTGGGGTCTTACCCTGCCTATCTGGACTCGTTTGGGTCTCGACTACTATTTGCATAAAGAAGTAACGTTCTTGGACCGCGAGCGAAGTCGGGACACGGTTTTCGATGCCCCGGTACCTAGCTAGATCCCGATAGGGCCGTCCATTCGATCGGATCAACCGTCGCGTTACATCGATTAGGCGATTGCGTCGTGTGGCTTCGCCGTTCATGCACCACAGCGGAAAAGTCAATTCACCGGTACTAGTCCTTCTTCAGAAGTTATGAGGGGTCCGATGACAGGGGATGCGCTTCTCTGTCGTCCTCCCGCTTTGATTGCCATGAAAACGATGGCAATAAATAGGCCAGCCAACTTGCGGTCACAATTTGCAGTCCAACTTGTTTAGGGCTGGAATTGTTCTTCCATACATGGTGATAAAAAGAAAAAAGAAAAAAATAAGAGCCAGGAAGAAAAAAAAAAAAAGGAATTGATGTGAGAATCGTCGCCTGAGAGATTCGAACTCTCGCGGGGAAACCCCATGTACTTAGCAGGCACACGCCTTAACCACTCGGCCAAAGCGACGCTTAGTTGACAACTTAGCCAGATAAATTATTTTTTATATTACTACATTCTTCAACGTTAGTCTTAAATAGACGGACGATCGATCTTGAACATCAACGATAGACGGTACGAGCTAACCATGCCCTTAAAAAATTTCAGCTTGAACCTCCGGACCCCTAAGATGTAAAGCACATATAGTGTATTCCCTCTCTCTTGAGGGAAGTGAGGAATGTATGACGTATTAGTGCCTGCACGTCTTTAATTTCTGTAATGAATTTACTGTCTAACCAGACATCAATGATAATCAGTTTTGGATAGATGGACGATCGATTTTGAGCATCGACGATAGACATAGTAGACGAGATAGAAACAACCCCTCCATTTATTATCTTTACATCGATGAAGCTCGTGAATAATACATCGCCAAAAAATGCCGGAAAAGTTTAATACAAAGAGACAACGACAAAGCATAACAATTGCCCGGACTTCTTTCTTTTCTATCTCTCTCCCCCTCTCGCATCAAATTAAAAAGACAGCAAACACGCACGCACATACAAAGCAACACGAGCACACACGACCAAAACAGAAGAAATTTGAAAGAAACGAACGAACGAACGAACGAACGCACCAAAGGTTTAGCCCCACCACTGGTGCACGGCAACACCCTCATCCCTGAGCCTTCCATACAAAGCCAAGCACTCCCAATACGCCCTCCTGCTCCTGTCGCTCATCATCATCATCCTCTTCACCCCCTCCGGCTTGCACTCCAAGAACAGCTCGTCCACCAGCCCTATCGCCTTGCTCCTCACCATCTCCTCCACCACCTCCGCCTCCGCCTTCATCACCACGTACTCCTCCTCCCTCACGTTCTTCTTCAGCCAGTCTGACATCCCGACCTGCGCCGCGGTGGCGGCCCACCCCGCCCCCGCCTCCGCCTCCTTCTCCTTCTCCTTGGTTGAGCCTGGTTCCTCAGCCACGGTCTCGATCTTGTACATCTCGAAGTCCAGGTTCCTCGTCGGGTAGTTCCTCGCGAACCACGCGGTGCTGCTGGCGCCCCCGTCTCTCTCCGGCAGCCCCACGTCGATGAACACGCGGCGCGGGTAGCTCTCCAGGGAGTCCCCCATCAAGTCCGGGAGGTACCTCGTCCTCTTGAAGTAGGCCCTGGACCTTCTCGAGGCCGCTCGCGGGGGCTCGAGGAGCACGTCTTCAAGGTTCTGTAGCGCTGCCTTCTTTTCTTCCGGGGCAAACCCGCATAGCCGTCTTTGCGTGGCCGAGTTTGTCGTTTTCCTTTCGCCGGTTTTCCTGATAGCGAGGACGGTCGATTCGAACTTTCTAATGTAGGCGATCTTGTAGTTCGGGGGCACATCGAATTGTACATTAGGGTCTTTACTTAGCAGAATCGCCGCCACTCCACCAACCTTTAGGGTTCGATCAATGAATTCCGCGGAAGAAGTATAATCGGTTGTGAAGGCGAAGGCGAATGTGTCACTCGGGATAGAACTTTGTCGCTCTAAATCGGTGATGGAAATACGATCCATCTCATTGCTGCCCGGAATAATAGAGGTATCAATGGACTCCTCATAGCCATTGCTCAAGAGGGCAACACTATTTCCACTTTTCAATAGGCCTTCGTTCGCTAAATCTTGGAAAAGCAATGGCAACATCACCAAGTTGACCGGGTCGGATACGTGCTGATTGACCTCGGAAATGGCTCGGTAAGGATCAACGGATCTCTTCAAGCCCGATTTCAACCAAGAGAAAGATGTGATGATGAATGCTAGAGCCAATGCACGGGCGAGAACCATCAAGACCCTCGAGCTAGGGACTTTGATGATCAAGTACTTAGATCCATAAGTATCGAAGCCAATGCCACCGACATCAAAACGTTTGTACCTTTTCGGGCGCTTCGGTTTGGAATCCTTAGCCAATTCCAAGGCCATTCTCTTCGAATTCCAAAATTTAGCCAGTGGGAAAACACGGACGTGAGGACGGATGAAATTTGCAGAACTTTCAAAGGTGAACGAGATCAGGCGGTATCTTATGAGAAGAAGAGCAAAGGAGCAGGAACTTGTGAACAGAATAGGACATAAAGGAAAGCGAAATGATCCTAAAGAAAAATTTGAGATCTGAAAGCTAGTAAGAAAGGCAAAGAGAAAGAGGGAGGAGAGGAGGGCTTGATCAACAACAACACTTAGCGAGTGCAAAATCTGGCCGCGGTGTGATTCCCACCCACAAGAGCTACACGGTTGCTTTGCTTCGATGACAACAACATCAACTGCCTCAGACGTTCCACCTCCATTTCCTCGACCTCGCGCATAACCCGTATCAACGAACGGTCCGCTATCACCAAGGCTCCAATGGTTCTAGCGACCCATTGAGGATATTAGGGATACAAGAGAGCCTATGGAAAGGACATGGAAGAGGTCTCTCTTTTTTTGTATTTTTTTGTTTTTTTGTTTTACTATATTCGGGAAGACAAGACACACAAGAGAGATAGAAATGGTGGGGTTGAGGTACTAGAAAGTGCAGAGAGG